TGAAATAATAGTTGGGTCAATACCATTTCAGCTGATATATGAATAGCAGTAACTTCTAAAGGCTGTGAGTTCTTGACAGGAGTTGGGATATCAGTTCCTAAGGTTATATTATTAACAATATTTTTCATTATGATATTTTCAGTTTGTTTATATGAAGTAGAAGTCATTTTTTGTTTTTTTAAAGAAGTTTTTTCAGTTGTATCTACGGTTTGAGAACCAGAAGTTTCACTGTTGTTATTGTAGATTGTTCGTTTGTTAGTTTGTTATATTCATTTGTGTTGTTTATTAGCTGAAATAGCTCTAATAACTAACATATTATTTTATTTTTTTATTTGTTATCGATCTTTTTTTAGAAATTGGAAGGTTGTAAGAGAAAGTTTTTTGCTAATCAATTTTATTACCTTTTTTTTTAAGACGTGATGAAGTATTTATTTATTCAAATTTCAAAATTCAATTATACAAAAGAAAATTCCTAGGACAGGTATAAAAGTAGAAAATAAAGTAAACGCTGCTTAGCTCTCTTCAAAGGGGTTAATCAACTCTGACCAAATCAACCAGTTGTTTCACCATGTTCCTAAACAACTATTATGAGAAAAAAGTCACTATATAATGCTAATCAATTTTATTACCTTTTTTTTTAAAGGTATAGTGACAATGACTGAGTACTTATAACACTAAACCAAGCTTATTAGCAAAATATCTAAACAAGTGAAGTGTAAGCTTATTTAATCTCAGGTATGTCCCTATTTTTCAAGTTATCCACCATGACGAACACCCCCCTTGATGTGCCCATCTAAGCATAATATCCTAACTTGGCAACTCAAACTGCATGTTGTGATCTGTGTTACATACTTAGCATCAAAAGTACTGTTAAATTTGAATAGAGGAATCATCTCAGTCATAGTGAACGTCATCACTAATTTTATCAATGATCTAGTGAACTATAACCAAGATCCAATTATTTAGTTTAGCTTTATCACTATTATATAGAGAGCCGCAGGGTTTATGGGATAATACCACAAGATTTGCTCAAACGGTAATCTCCAGTTACGTATATATACTACATCAACCAGGTGATTTTGATATCCATAACGTTAAACAACTCAGGAATTAAACCTGACCTCTAACCCTAGTGACAGCTCGATTAGACGATACTGCGAGTGTGCAATGCAGTTTATTATCACCGCTAATCTAATTTACTAAGTTCTGATCAATCACTTCCTTAATTTATATACAATCTTATGATCATATACAGAAATAAGAGTCCCTATCTGATGAGACGTAAGATTATATCCATTACAGACTAATCAGTGAAGGCTAAGTTTCTATTGATTTAAGGCTTTATTTGTATCTACTTGTTCTAACACTGTATAGTATTTAGGCATAATCAATGTTGATCGATAGATCAATCAACCAGATTTATACACATGTTAATATATACATTCATCATATTTAGTACATATGAAATTCTTATGAAAATCATCTAGTTTTATGTATTGACTGATACCTAAACTGATGGCCTATTGCTGTGTAATTAAACTTTAACTTAATAGGAGAATCGCAGTTTAATCACTGAGCCAGGAACGCTACTCTTTCTAATCAATTTTATTATCATTTTATGTAATCAATTAATGTTAATTATTTCACTACTTAATTTATGCATTAATTTGATGATAAATTTCAGTAACACTAATTTGATTGACTGTAGATTAATTTTCAATTTTGCAGATCTAATTTCAAGGGTAACACTAGTTGATTTACCTAATTTACCCCAGGCTCTAATTGGTCAGTATATTTAACTATGTTAATTGTCACGTATTGTGGATGTGACAAATAAACATCAACCTAAAAAAATTCTGTCCCCAGAAGGATGATGAAGTTTCTCTCTAATTAGCTCAGATTTAAACAATCAACACGGATTGTGATTGGTTAAAATATATTGTACACCGTTGACTCAAAACGTATTTTAAACTGTTATTTTAAATATGGTAGGCAAAAAAAAAAATTTTGGACCATCCTCAATAACGAATTGTGAAAATGAAAATGGTTCCTTTCGCTTAATCATGAAACTCGTATATCAAAAATGTTATGAGAAAAATACGTTAGAAATATACCCTTACCTTGAAGTAGGGAAATAACTATGTCACTTACATTATTGCTATTTAGTGGAGCCTGACCGTGGTTAAAATAAGTGAAAAAAAATAAATAATCAGGAATGCAGTAGGAAAAAGATTGTACACATAGAAGAAACTGGAGAGGAAGGTAATAATATAATTTATATTAACTAAAAGTACTATTAATCTGATCTAATTTTTATAACAATCTTTCATTTAGTTTTAATAAACGATCCTACATTTGCATCAAATGTAAAAACTCTAACAAATGTGTTGTATAATAAGCAACGTCGAGAGTTTTCTAATTTGGAACTGGATCCGACACAATTTCAACATATGATTGAAGAGGCCAATCCTGAACTTAAAGGATTTTTTCCATTAATGGTAAATATAATTATTTCTAAGGATCAATCAGTTCATAATAAATTAGAGGCGAAAAAATCAATTGTAACTTTATGTTACATAATTGCTGGTTTACGTAACAAATTTGTTAACCAGTTTAAAATAGAAGTTGGGTTATATTTAGTCGCAACAGGAGCTACATGGGAAGCCATTGATACAATGTCAAGTCTTGGTTTCTCAGCATGTGGCAAGACAGTTGCAGGTTTTCAAAAAAAAATTCAAATAAATCATATAATTAAAATTGAAAACCATTTTTTAGAACAAGTAAGCTTTTATTTTAAAAAAATACTTAGAAATATATTATAAAAATTAAATTATTTTTTTTTTATAATAGGGAAATTGTTTACATATATACAACATAGATGATTATCATGCTATTCATGAAAAGTGAAGGCCGGATACAGTATCAATATCAATAGCAAAGCATTTTACTACATGTGTTGCAAAACCTGTTGTAGAATATTCTGCAGTATCACTCATATTTAATAGTGTATCTATCCATAATCCAAATAGTATCGAAGCTCCAAGAATTTGCTGGCATTTACTTAATAAATATACTGGATTATTTGATGTTTCATATACAGATCTTTGGACTTTACAAGGACACCAGGGTATCAATACTTTTGATTGTATTGAACTTTTAACTGTTCACATTTATGATGACGCTATTGCTGAATGAAAGGAAGAGAGATCAATGAATATGCTTAAATTAATTGGGCTTAAGGAACAGAATTTGCATTCAATGCAAGATTATTTGAAAGCATTACAAATCATTTTAACTATAAATAAAAAACAAAGTATTTAGAAAATCAAGTTGCACCTGTTGTTGCAGATTGGCCTGGTCAATTATTTATTAGAAAAACATTGACGCATTTGCATACATCAGGACTGCAATCTGCTATTCCAAAGGAAATCAATTCATTTATACCAATAATAAGACCACTTTATCTTTCTCTTAATAGTAGGGAGCATGTTATGATAATTTTTTTTTTTTTGAACAAATGTTTCATTTTGTATTTGGTGAACGTAAAAAATTAGCAAAAAAACCTAAACCATGGCGAATCAACCTTCTTCTAGAACTTGTACGAAGTGATTAGCTTAAAATTAAAAATAAAATTATGCAAAAATTTGATTCAACATGCAAAGATGTTGAATATCGAACAACAATTGATTTATTGGATAATTTAATTCCATCTATACTTCATATTTATGCAATTTTATTTAGATCTGGATCATTTGAAAAATATGTAGAAACTGTATTTCATATCTGGACTTTTGTCTTATGATGGAAAAGAAAAAAATTACAATAAAGCTCCTTCTGTATTCTTATCAGATCTTTTTTATTGGCAGGATAACTGTTATCCATTTGCTGATACAATCAAAAAATACCTATTATGTTTTAACGATTATTATGTTGAAAATACTCATAGTCAAATAAGAGCAAATACATCTTCAAATGCAACTGTTGAAAACATTATAAAACAGGCCATATTATTGGTAAATACCAATATGTAATAATTGTAAAATTATTAAAATTAATATTTTTTTTTTTAATAATAAATAGCGGATCACGATCCTATGTTTAAAGATACATATTGTAAATCTCGTCATTATCCATACAACCCATCTACACTCGATTTTCTATCTGATAAAACAAGCCTTTTTTTTATTAAAATACTTTCATAATATATTTTGCAATCAAAACAATAGCATTCCGGTATATAGCAATAGAAAAAAAAAGAAACTAAAGGGTATAAACTAGCTACCTTAGAAAAAGAAGTAGATTTGCGTCATTTACCAACAGCATACAGCACATCACATCCACCACAATTAGGATTATGTGACTATTGTAAACTTCAAATGGATGATGATAGTGTAGTACTTGTCTGTGACCATAGTTATCATTTGGCTTGCTATGATAAAAGGTGTGTTTATTGTGAAAATTTTTATAAAAATGGCATCTATAAAAATGTAAATGCATTTTTAAAAAGGATTGAAAAGGGAACAGATACACTTACATAGGATGATTTAGATGATGAAATTGGTAAAGATAGGGAAGAAGAGACAGAGGAGACAGAATGTGAACAGACAGATATATCTGTTGCATTAGCAATAACAATTAATAATATAAATTCCTGGTAATAGTGATAATGTAAAATAAATTAGAAATGTAATAAAAATTTTCTTTATTAAATCACAACAATAATAGCCTTATTTTAATTAACTTTTATATGAACAGTTACATATATACCAATGCTAATAAATGCACAATATAAATTATATATAATACAATAGGCCAAAATTCATGTCTAAGGAAACTTTCGCAAGAATCGAGATCATTAGAGATCAGTTTCTTGTCGCGTTAGAGTAGTATCGAAGGCGTCTTTCATGTGATGTAATATAACCATCGTAAACCATATATATATACTATTGTATACGCTATATAAATAGTTTGTGTAACTATAGTCATCATAGGGACTTCCATCATGCTGTGGTTGGCTAAGAAAAAATGAAAGTAAAAAATCCTAATACTAGTGGTGAGAGCCGGAACAGTATCACGTGACTGTGGCGCAGTAACAACAGCTCATCAAGTGTAAAGTCAGACAGCTCACGAATAATGGTTTGTGCCTCGAGCCTCTAGTGGATTTTTGTTCACCCTCTTGCCTCCTTCTTTTTCTAGGTATTTCAGGTGAAATGTAAAAACCTTCTTTTTCCAAATCATAGTTTGTCGGACACTTAGGACACAACTTGCGATTAATTTCAATGCATTCGAAATGTACTATATGTTTACAACATGGAAAAGTCACAAGTGGCTCTGAAGGTTGAGTAGAGATTTCTTGAGAGCACTTTGCACATTTGCTGGCCTGAACTATTGGATGCGTGTTTTCTCCTGTAGCGACATCGTATTGGAAAGGTAACAACGGATCTCTATCATCACTAACGAGGCATGTACCACAACTTAATACTCCTCTTCTATCGATTTTTTTTGAACAAGTCCGATGATGAATATGTCCACATACATTGACAACGAATGATCTAGGAGGGTTGTCATTAAAATTGGAGTTCCACACATTCCACATTGTCCATATTCCGGAATGTTAGAATCACTTGACTTAATCGCTGAAAAATCAGGCGCCTCGCGAAGTATGTCTTCTGGGAGGTATTTGAGGATATTCAATGCAATGGTTTTGAGTTGTTTATTGCGGTTTGGGTACACTGGGAAGATATCGCTATTTTCTTCCTCCGGTGGTCTTGTACTTTCGGTGAAGGTTACGCCCTCCATACTATTTAAGTCCACCACTTCCTCCGCAATAGAAAGGTTCTCCATACTGGGCGGGTTATCCACATTGAATGAGTCCTCCAGGTTTTCCATGTTTTCGATACTCTAGCTTTGAACAAATGGAAGACGGAAATTCTTGCTGATTTTATAGCGCCAGTTATTTCGCAAGAGAAACGATCCCCAGATCCTCACTACCAATTACGCACTTCATTTCATCATGTCTCTAACCCATTTGATTATCATTCCGGGATCCTCACTAGCAATTACGCACTGCATTTCGTCATTCCGTTAATCCCTCTGCAAATCGATAAAATGATTAGCATACACATCCTCAAACCCCATATGCGAAATAATGATTGCTGAAAAAAATATCCATATTCGAATATTGTTTTATTGATATGATAATAGCGTGGCCGGAAAAATAAATGCAAATCGAGTCGAAAAAAAATAATGCGAATATATATGCGATTCTCATGTTGCACAACCCAGGGCAAGATATTGTACTACTGCGCATTTCAGATGATCGATTCACATGACGAAGTTCTATTGCGAACTTGAATTTATTGACGCATTACAAAATAGTGTAATAAAATTGGCATATAAGCTTTATTATGTTAAACATTCCAATGTACAGTTATACATTCGAATACACGA